TCTGCCGCAGTGGCTGAGACTGCTGCTTCAGCGCAGTTTTGTTCGGGGAAGGGCCGCCGCCCCAAAGTTGGGCGCGGCGGAGGCGGAGGCAGGGGTGCGGGAGGGGGTAGTGGTGGGGTCGGGTCGTCTGGTGCTGGAGCGGACGAGGGGACCCTGCCCAGTCCAGCTGAGCCGCCGCCCCTGCAGTTACAGCAGCCGCAGCAGCCGCCACAGTCGCAGCCTTTGCAGCAGCCGCAGCAGCTGTCGCAGACACGGCAGACGAGTGTCCTCCCGCCCGGGTGGCCCGGCGCTGGCTGTTGCCGGGCGCGTGGTGGTGTGCCGAGTGGTGGCTCTGGCGGCGGGCGTTGTCAGTACCAGATCCAGACCGGTCCTCGCCGCGGCTTCGTTTGCGGTAAGATCGGTCACTCCACTCCCCGTTGTTTTCGTCGCCTGGACGACCTCTTTCGTCAGCGCTTCGGCCCGTCGCCAGACCTCCCGGACTGGCACAGTTTGCTTAGTCGTAAGATTCAGATCTTTGATATGGACATGGATGCCATTGTTTCTGCTCTGCATGTGATGTATGCTGATGACTCTAGTGTGCTTCCAGCTTATTACTCACTGTTGCCTACTGTAGGTGTGCCTAGCGTAGCCTCCCCTGCTGCGTCAGGCGTAGGATCCTCTGCTTTGTGTAGTCTTGGTGCTTCCGCCGTCGTTCCGTCGACAGCCGCCTCTGCTTCGCTTTCCTTCACCTTGGACTCTGGCGCGTCTCGGTGTTTCTTCCGCGACTCCACCACCCTGACGCCGCTTCCTGTTCCTGCTGCCGTTTCTCTTGCTGACCCCTCCGGCGGTCCGGTAGTCGCCCGCAGTTCTACCACCCTTCCCTGTCTGGCGGTTCCTTCGGGCACTCTCACAGGTCTGCATATCCCCTCGTTCTCCAGGAACCTAGTTGGTGTCGGCTGCCTCCAGGACCTTGGCGTCACCACTACGTTCCCTGGTCACGAGCGGTATGCTGTCTGTACCGAGGCCGCCACTAGTGCCCCCCTGTCCACGTTCCCCCGGGACCCGGTGTCCGGCCTGTTCACTCTGGACACCGTGACCCCCCCAGCTAGAGCGTTCACCCAGGTTGCTGCCGCCTGCTCCTGTCGGTCCCTCACTCACCCGACCCTCCTTTGGCACCACCGCCTAGGTCACCCTGCGCTCCCGCGTTTGCGTCACATATCCCCGCACGGTCTTGTCCTTGGTCTCCCAGGTTCTCTCCCCGCGTTTCCCTTCTCCCCAGCCCCACCTTGCACGCCTTGTGTCGAGGGTCGGCTTCGCCGTGCCCCTCACTCCTCCTCGTTTCCCCCTACCGCCGCGCCGCTGCAGACCCTGCACCTGGACGTCTGGGGCCCCGCCCCCGTCCCTGGGCCGCGTCGAGAGCGCTACTTCCTTGTGCTTGTCGATGACTTCACTCGTTACACCACAGTCTTTCCCCTGGAGCGCAAGGCCGACGTGCCTGACGCTCTCATCCCCTGGCTTGTCTCTGCCCGTGTCCATCGCGGTCTCCCTGTCTTGCGTCTTCACTCAGACCGTGGTGGCGAGTTTGCCTCCGGTGTCCTTGGTCGCTTTTGTCGTGCGGAGGGCATCACCCAGACGTTCACCCTACTGGACTCCCCACAGCAGAATGGGGTCGCTGAGCGACGCATCGGTTTGGTCATGGAGGTGGCTCGCACCTCCATGATCCATGCCGGTGCACCCCATTTTCTGTGGCCGTTCGCTGTGCGCTACGCTTCTCACCAGCTTAACTTGTGGCCGCACCCTCAGCAGCCGCAGGTTTCGCCGACCCGTCTTTGGACCGGGTCTCCTGGTGACGCGTCTGCGTTCCACGTCTGGGGCTGCATTGCTCACGTTCGTGCCTCACCGCTTCTTTCACTCTCGTGACGTCACCTTTGACGAGTCCGTCCCCTACTACCGTCGCTTCCCCCACCGTGGTCCCCCGGTTACCCCCCCCCTGTTCCTGGTCACTCCTTCCCCGGTAGTCCCTGCCCCTCCTCCTCCTCCTCCCCGTCCCGCCCCCTCTAGTGTGTCCCACGTCACCCCCCTTCCGTCGGAGGACCCGGTTGAGGAGTCTTCTGACTCTGGTGGCCCTCCTGTGCAGTCCTCGCCGGCCGCCCCCCCCCCGGCGTCCCCTCCCCAGTCCCCTCCTCCACCGCCTCTGCCGCCGCTGCAGCCGTCGTTGTCGCTGCCGCCGCAGCCGCCGCCGCCGCCGTCGCAGCCCCCGTTCGCTGACTCTGGGGGTGCTGGTGTGGAGAGTGCCGGTGGTAGCCGAGGAGCAGCTTGCGGTCCAGGTGTCGCCGTTGTGCCGCCGCAGCAGCACTCCCCGCCGGTGTCAGCCCTTCGCCTGCTCGGCCTTCCGTCCCCCGACCCTGCGTCTGTTTCTCCCCGACCGTCTCCTCCTCTTCCTGTCTACGGCCCTGTTTTCCCTCCGCCGAACTCGTCCCCGGCCTGTCTCCCCCCTGGTTCCCCTCCTGTGTCCCCTCCCCTGTCCCCTGACCCAACTCCTCCGTCGCACGTCTGGTCTCACCGTCCCTCCCGTGCTCGTCCTGCCTCGCCTGTCTTGCGCTCCCACCCTATGTTGCTTCGTTCCCACGCGTCTCGTCCTCCCCTTCTGCCGTCGCCTCCTCCGTCCTCCCTTGTTGTTGCACCCCCCCCGCTGTCTGACTACCTTCGTGCCGCTCGTCCCCTTGTTCCTCGGGTCCTTGCCTCTCTCGTTACCGACCCGTCTGTTCCGGTCTCGTGCCTTGACGCTCTTGTCGCTGCTGTCGCTGACTTCGCCTCTACCCGCCGCCTTGACTACGCCACCGCTCTGGTCTCTGACCCTGCCAGTCCTCCGTCTGTCGGGGGTGCTCCTGCCCTTGGCAGTGACGTCCTGGAGGACCGCCAGTTCGAGCTTGCTTTCCTCTCCGAGGCTGCTCCCCATCTCTGTTCCATGCTGCTAGTCCCTGAGGGTGACCCAGACGCTTTCGACATCCCGACCCCTCGCACTTACGCTGAGGCGACCTCGGGACCCTGGGCCTCGCAGTGGATAGCTGCCATGGAGCAGGAGATGGCATCTTGGAGATCCACCGGCACCTTCGTCGACGCAGTTCCCCCACCTGGGGTGAACGTAGTCGATGGCCGCTGGCTCTTCAAGGTGAAGCGCCCTCCTGGAGAGCCGCCTGTCTTCAAGGCGCGCTACGTGGCTAGAGGCTTCAGTCAGCGCGAGGGGGTGGACTTCTTCCAGACCTTCGCTCCGACCCCGAAGATGACTACTCTTCGGGTTCTGTTACACCTAGCTGCTCAGCGTGACTACGAGCTTCACTCCCTCGACTTCTCCACTGCTTTCCTTCAGGGCAGCCTACACGAGCAGGTCTACCTACGTCGCCCTCCGGGCTTTACTGGCGCCTTCCCTCCTGGGACCCAGTGGCTCCTGCAGCGCCCCGTCTACGGCCTGCGCCAGGCTCCCCGTGAGTGGCACGACACTCTCCGTGCTACGCTTGCTGACCTGCAGTTCTTTCCGTCTTCCGCAGACCCTTCACTCTTCGTTCGTGCTGGCCAGACTTCGTTCTACATCCTTGTTTACGTCGACGACCTGGTCTTTGCCACAGCTGACAGGGACGCACTGGCCTCCGTGAAGGCAGAGCTGCTGAAGAGACACACGTGCACTGACCTTGGAGAACTGCGCCGTTACCTTGGCTTGCACATCTCCAGGGACAGAGCATCGCGCACCATCACCCTGACTCAGTCACACTTGGTGCGCCAGGTCCTTCAGAGGTTCAGTCTTCAGTTCTCCTCTGCACAGCCCACCCCTCTGCCTGTAGACCACAGACTCTCCGCTCCAGTGTCTGAGGAGTTGGTAGAGCCCAGCGGCCCCTACGCAGAGCTGGTGGGTTGCCTCATGTACCTGATGACTTGCACTCGCCCAGATCTCGCATACCCTCTCAGCATCCTGGCTCGCTTTGTGGCCACAGGCAGACACCGACCGCAGCACTGGTCTGCCGCTAAGAGGGTTCTGCGTTATCTTGCTAGTACATCGGGCATGGGGTTAGTGCTAGGAGGACGCAGGCCAGTGGTCCTTACTGGACACACAGACGCTTCGTGGGCAGACGACGCCGAGACACTCAGGTCTACCCAGGGCTACTTCTTCAGCCTTGGCTCAGGTGCCGTCTCGTGGAGAGCTACCCGCTCCTCGTCTATTGCGCAGTCGAGCTGTGAGGCTGAGATCTACGCTGGTGCCATGGCGGCACAGGAGCTCCGCTGGCTGACCTTCTTGCTCACTGACTTAGGTGAGCGGCCTAGCTCTGCCCCGGTCCTGTTCGCTGACAACAGGGCCATGATCCTCCTGTGTCAGGAGCCTCGGCTCGAGGGCAGAGCGAAGCACATTCAGCTGCGGTACTTCCTCCTGCGTGAGCTACAGCAGCGACGTCAGGCTCGCGTAGTACACTTGGCCTCAGGTGCCAACACGGCTGATATCTTTACGAAGGCGCTTGCGCCTAAAGATCATCAGCGGCACTGTGTACAGCTTGGTCTAGTTCTTGTAGCCTCTCACTTGCTAGGACCTTGACTTTGTACAGTCGTTTATATGTATACTCACACTGGACTTGTGTCCTCTCCCAGTGGCTGGACTAGTAGTGCCGCCCTGCTCTTGTTCTTGCCTTGTCTGTACCTCTTCTGACTGGTCTCTCAGACCCTTGTCTCAGAGGTTGGACTAGTAGTGCCGCCCTGAGCTGCTTGTTTAGAACATTCCCCTATGCAGTCTAGGGGGTGTGTCAAGCATGTGTATTTGTCATGTTTGTATAGACTGTATAGGGTCACCTCTTAGAGGGTACAACACTTAGGTATATCTGTGTGTACTCTCACTCTACCATTCATTCACTTCTCTAATTCTGATATGCGTCACCTGTGTCATTTTAGCTAAGGACAAGACACGCCCCTCACAGCTGCTCCAGCTCGCCTCGACCAGTCAGATAGAATTCTGTTTCAGGCTGGAAATCCGTTAAGGCTGATAATTCAGGGTGACCAAAACAAGAACATACAATATTTCAGGCCTGCTCAAATGACAACCCCTAAAATTCAGGCCTAGGAAAAATCAAAAGCTGAAAAAACAGGACGACCCTAAAAAAAAGCCCTGATATACAGCATTTCAGGGCATTTTGTCCTGACTTCTGAAGCCCTGTTCCTAAGGGTGCCCCAAAACCAATCTTGGGCGCTGTGAATCATTCGTACTCCTAACCAGCAAAATTACTCGACATTTCAGCCCATACAATACTATGCTTACAAGTGCTCCATCTACCCCCGCCCCCACCCTCACAAGGGAGTGCAAGCATGGTCAGTTACTCGTCCATATGCCGTGCCATCTATCAGTATCCCAGCTCCTCTGGAGTGTAGTCAAGCAGAGTCCCCAGCGCGCTGGGTGCAATCTTCCTGAGCACGAGGAAGCAGGACTCCTTCTGGCCGCCCCAGTCGCACTTGGCATCCCACTTGATGGACCTGAGGAACTGGGGGGTCAGCTGCTCCCCCCCGTACTCCACTGGGTGCGCGCCCCCCGCCCATGCCGCCCACGTGGGGCCCCTCCTAGCCACGTGGTCAGGGTCACGGATCTAGTGGATGGCAGGGAAGGTGAGGGCGGGGAGGGAGGGGTTCAGGCGAGCGATAGGGAAAATGAGCCTGCAGCCCCTCCTAACCACGTGGTTGGGGTTGCGGATCTCGAGAGCACAGAGCGGTATGGGGCTGGAAAGGGGGTGTGGGAGCACGTGAAGATGCGAGGAGGAACAGAGAGGCAGAGAAAATTCTGTACGAGTTTTAGCGGAGCGCGGCTTCCACTGGAGTGGGTGGGGCACACCTGGAGTAGATGGGGCATACCTTGAGTGGGTGGGGCATACCTTGAGTGGGTGGGACATACCTTGAGTGGGTGGGGCATACCTTGAGTGGGTCGGGCATACCTTGAGTGGGTGGGGCATACCTTGAGTGGGTGGGGCGTACCTTGAGTGGGTGGGGCATACCTTGAGCAGTGTCTGGAAATAGTGCTCGTCCAAGTAGCAATGCCTGTGCCAGTTGTCACCCTGTGATTGGTGGATGGAAAGCGATGCATAAAGCGCATTTCGAGAGAAGGAAAGGAAAGGGCTGGACAGTGGTTGATCGAAAGGCAGGAAAAAGTAATGCACCGATGCCAACCACACAAGAGGAGGATGTTGCATGTGCCACCACTATGCTTCCATAACACCACCACAATCACCTTGTCGGCCTCCCAATCACCATAACTGCTGTACTCCCCTCCTCTCACCTTGCACCATCTGGCCAGTTTGGGGTAGATTTAATTATCAATCGCACTACGGAGCAAGGTGCTAAAAAACGGTGTGCTTTGTTTTTCATTTTCTTGTCCGTTTGTACGGTACCGGGTTATATAGCCGTAGAATACGAAAGAAACGGTTTATATTTTCATTTTGATTGGTAAAACAAACCTGCCGAAATCTTCAAAAACTGAGAGGAAAAGATGGCATTTCGCCAGCCGAAATGTGCAGATCGCCCGCCAGAATGTCCGCATCTCGTGTTTCGGTGGACAAAATGAGCAGATCTGGCCGACGTTTAGGCTTTCAAAATAAAAATAAAAAGAAGCCGAAATTTTCTACTAAAACTTCCGAAAATTTTATCCGAATTCACCAGAAAAAACGATCGAAAAAAAACGGCCTGCCGAAAATTTCCACCTTGCTACAGAGTGACCTCAGAAGTTAGCCTCACACTCCCGTCTCACCTTGCACCATCTGGCGAGTGTCGGGTAGACTGTTCTATCCGTCACAGCAAGGAAGGCGTGGTGCCAAGTGAGCGCCCACCACTGCCGAATGGGGTTGCACAGCAGGGCAATGTGGGAAGAAATACGAGCGAGGTGGAGGATGGAATTGAGGGAACCAATCATAAACTCAGATTGCAAACTTCCAACAGTCAAGCCAGTGGAATCCCCAGAGGTTTTACAAGGCACTGCTTTCACCTGGGAGCCCTTGGACCACTGCTGCTGCTGCACCCATGGCTGCATGTGGCTGCTGTAGTGCCCCATGCAGTTCCAGTTGTTGTCACACGCGCTGGCTTGAGGGAGGGGGGAGAGGGCAGACATTACAGGGCAACGGGGTGGGGGGGGAGGGGGGTAGACATTACAAGAAAACGGGGGGCGAAGGGTAGACATCACAGGGCAAGGGGGGGGGGGGGAGAGGATAGACATTACAAGGCAAAGGGGGAAAAGGTTAGACATTTCAGTGTGTATGTGTATGTGTGTGTGTGTGTGTGTGTGTGTATGTGTGTGTGTGTGTGTGTGTGTGTGTGTGTGTGTGTGTGTGTGTGTGTGGGTGTGCATGTGCGTGAGTGCGTGAGTGCGTGCGTGGGTGTGTGTGCGTGTGTGGGCGTGCGTGTGCGTGCGTGCGTGAGTGCGTGCGTGGGTGTGTGTGTGTGGATGTGTGTGGGTGTGTGTGTGTGTGTGTGCGCGCGCGCGCGCGTGCGTGTGTGCGTGTGTGTGTGTGCGCGCGTGTGTGTGCGTGTGCCGTGTAACGGGCACACCTGTGCAGCAGGCTGTGATTGGCAGCCATCAAGTAGCGGTAGGTGAACGGGAAGTCATGCAGTGGCATGCAACTGCAGCCGGGGGGTGTGGGGGTGGAATGGGGACGGAAGGTTAAAGGCGAAAGACAGGAGGGGATCAGGAGCGTGAGCTAGGCGTTGGAGGAACTGGCGGCAGACGGCTGAGTAAAAGTAACTGATCCCCTCAGCCACAACTGACTATCCTTGAGGCACGACAGGTGAAGCGCAGCAGACGCACGACTCGGAGACCATGATGAAGCGCTTGTTCGCTGGGTCCAGCAGGGCATTCGCAAGGAGCCGGCGCTCCGCAGCCACCATTGACGGGTCGCCCCACTGCACCTGGCGCGCGCGCACAGGCGAGGGCGATGGAGGGAGAGAGCAAATAGGAGGGTGGGGAAGTAGGGGAGGAGAGGGGTTGTAGGTGGCGGGGAAATGGGTGGGTGGAACCACTGACAGACACAGGTGATGGGGCATGGGGTTTGTCACTAGAGCCTGCCCCAGAAGCACCCTTCACCGAACATTCTCTCAACATTCCAGAAAAAAAAACCAAGCCAGAGTTTTCTTCGAAGCACTCTGCACCTAAAACTCCCTTGCCAGCCTTTCCCTGTAACCCCCCCTGTAACCCCCCCTGTAACCCCCCCTGTAACCCCCCCTGTAACCCCCCCTGTAACCCCCCCTGTAACCCCCTCCATTCATTTCCCTTGTCACCTTCTCGCTGGCGACCTCCCGCGCGAAGAACACCGGTGACGAGTCCAACGGGTACTGGAAGCCCGGCGCCGCGTGCACGTAGATGGAGTAGCGCCTCTCGTGGCCCTGCCGGTGGTCACAGGGGAGGGCGCGGATGTGGGGAAGGCGATGCATGGTTGGAATAGCTAAGAAATTTCGCACTTCCCTGTGGTTTGGAATACTTGGGAAGGAGAACCACTGACCTCCTCTCACCTTGCAGCAGCAAGGGATCTCACCCGTAGATATCTCTCCCACAGTCTGCTAAGAGGCATGGGGCCACGTGTGAGGAATAAGAACGCCACTCGGTCCTCCTCCTCCTGCCCGTTCCCCTTGGGCCTGCCATCTGGGTACAGCCTCCGCACCCTATCAAACAGCGCCACGTCAGCAGCGGACAAGACTGGCTCGTCCATGCTTCTGGGCGGCGGGCCTTGTCGTATCTCCTCATCAGAGCATCTGTGGCCGGTGATGTTGACGCAGGGAGACTCGTCCTTGGCTAGAAGGCGGAGGTATGCCGGTGTGGGGTCTGAGGGAGAGCCCGCGAGGGACGGAGGGATGGAGGTGGAAGGGGAGGAAGAGGAGGAGGAGGATTTAGAGGAGTGTAGCTGGGTTGAGGTGCTGCGCGCATAAGAATCTGGCGATGCGTTGAGCAAGTTGCCTCGCGGCGCGGATGGACCGGCGTGTGAACCCCTCGATGCGCTGTCATCGCCCTTGCGGCTTTCTCCGCTGCCCGGAGATTCGCCATCTGACGCGGATTCTGAGCTTCTGAGTCTTCGCAAATGGCTTCGCAGCGCTGGCGAAAGCAGCACGGTAACCGTGAGAAACGCGGATACTCCCAAGGCTACAGGGAAGACGCTTCGCCTGCTACGGCCCTTGGAATTTGACCGTCTAGGAACACCGATAGCCGCGGGACCGGTGCTACCAGATAAGGCTTTCCCTCCTTTAGCGACCACACTTGGCATCTTCAAAGCGTGGATCCTAAAACGTCCGGGGACCAATCTGAGACAGGAAGGGAGAGGAGGAGGGAGGGAAGGGAGAGGCGGGGAGGGGAAAGGAGGTGAGGGGCAGAAAGCGGGAACGAGAGTATGGAGACGGCAGGAGCGGCGGCACGGCAGAGAGAGGCGGCTTGGGTCACTCTCACTCACCCTCCCCTCCCTCCCTGCGCCTCTCCCTCTTTCAAGCGGCTCTGCTCCGGTGGGGAAAGACGGAGGGGGGTGGGAATGCAACTAGGCGGGGTAAGAATGGAAGCCGAGGGGTGAGAATGGGAGCTGGGGGAAGGCGTAGGAGCAGGGGGGGTGAACGGGAGAGGGGAGACGGCATGCAGGTAGGGGAGTGAGGGAAGGAATTAGCGGCGATGAGGGAAGGGATAGCGGGTAGGAGGGGGAGGCATGGGTGCAGGGGTTGAGCATGAGCGCAGGGGAGGAAGGGGCCAGGTACTCAGGTGTGGACGGGAAGGGAGTTGGGGGAAGGAGGGCATGCAGTGGGGGAAATGGGGAAGGGAGCGCGGGAAGGAGGGAAGAGATTGGAAGGGAGTGGGGGAAGAGAGTGGGGGAATGGAGGAGAGGGTGGTGGAAGGCAGCCATGCCGTCCGCCAAATGGGGATGGCACCTGCGGGGCAGGGAAGAAGATAGTGGGGGTGGGTAGGATGGATGGAGGGATGGTGGTCGATTGAGGGAGGGAAGAGGGGGAAGGTTGGAGGAGAGTGCTGCGGGCAAGGGGGGAGAGGGGGGGACGATGCAATGGCGTGGGGGGAGGGGAGGGCAGGCTGTCTGCTGTCTAGCTCTCTCTCTCTCTCTCTCTCTCTCTCTCTCTCTCTCTCTCTCTCTCTCTCTCTCTCTCTCTCTCTCTCTCTCTCTCTCTCTCTCTCTCTCTCTCTTTCCCCCTCCCGTCCTCTACCTTTCCCCCTCCCGCTCTTCCCCTTTGCCCCTCCCGCTCTCTCCCATACCCCCTCCCGCTCTCGCCCTTTCCCCCTCCCGTCCACTCCCTTTCCCCCTATCGTTCTCTCCCCTTCCTCCTCCCTCGCTGGCCATTCCTTCCGCCAATCTGTCCATAGCTGTCCTCGTCCCCCCTCTCTGCCCCTCTCTGCCCCTCTATGCCTCTCTCTGTCCCTCTCTGCCCCTCTCTGCCCCTCTCTGCCCCTCTCCTGTCCTCTCCCTCGCTCTCTGCCCCTCTCCTGTCCTCTCCCTCGCTCTCTGCCCCTCTCCTGTCCTCTCCCTCGCTCTCTGCACCTCTCCTGTCGAGGGAATGGTGACGGGAGGTGCGACAGGAATGACAAGGGGAAGGGCGACAAAGATGACCCGCATGTGGGGGGGGGTGCGGATGCATGTGGGTGAGAGGGGGAGGTGAGGCTGGCGAGTGCGAGAGCAGCGACAAGTGAGAGAGCAAGCAGAGGAAGGTGGGCAGGCTGGGTGGTGCGGTAAGTGGGACGGGGGCTGAGGCGAGAGAGCGGGTTGGTTGTGCCCAGACATGTGAGTGGGGGAGGGAGCAGCTGCGGAGCGCATGAGGACGCAAAGCCACTTGCTCGCGTCCCCAAGGCTAGTGAGAGGGGTAGCGGATGCAAGTGAACGGGTAGCAGCGGCACGTGAGAGTGGGCGAACTGGCCACTATGAGGGCAGCGAGGGGTGAGCAGAGGGATATGGGGGGGGGGAGCAAAGAGGGGTGTGGGTGGGAGCAGAGAGCGGGCTGGCGTGCGGCGGGTGGGTGTGAGAAGGGGGCAGCGCATGGTGCGATCGGAGAAGAGAGGTGTGAGAGGAGGAGCTGCGGGAAGTGCGACGGCGAGCAGAGGGCTGTGATAGGAGGATCGGAGAGGTGTGCGCGGGGATACAAAGGGTGGCAGGGTGGTGGGTGCAAACGAGTGGATCGCAGGGCGGTCTGCGGAGGAATTTGAGGTGGATGAGCCGGGGGAGGAGGGATGCGAGAGGGGGAAGTGAGGGTTGTGTCGAGGGAGCAGGAGTCTGGGGAGGGGTTTGGTTGCCGTTCTGGGGAGCTAGCAGCGGGCTTACTGGGTTGGAACGGTCGCCAAGCAGCGGCGTCGGCAGCTGGTGCAGAATGCGGCTCCCCACTGTTTCGCCGACAGGGGGAGGCAATCGGTAGCGGGTAACCGTGTATCCCTGAAACGGGAGGGGTTGCATAGGGCAGACATTTTCGCACAGACCGACGTGCCGATCTGGCCAAGCGGGCTGTGGTGCGCGGTGGGGAGCTAGCTTGGGGTCGTGGGGGACCCTGGGGCCACCAGAGAGGGTGGAGCGTGGTTGTGCGGCAATGCGGATGATGGGTGACGCGGGGATGGAGGCGCTGGGGCAGGACGCATTACGTGCCTAAGATACGCGCATAGCGGGAGGGGCTGTTGGGTGCGTTTAAAGCAGCCGACGCCAGCCGGCGGTGATAGCTGGGCTCGCGACTCAACGTGGCGAGTGCGTTGTCACCCTGAAACAATGGCAGGTGTCAACATGAGAACGCGGTCTCAGGATGATGCCAGTCATGTGAATTTCCCATCGGCGCGACACACCTTCCTGAATCGGGGGCGACGCGGGGGCGCGCGCCTATTCAACCTGCCCTCTCGCGGGAGGCGCGGGGCTTGATGCGTCGAGATCGATTTCAGCACCGGCCGCCACGCGTATGCTAGTTCCTCTAGCCGGTTATTACCCTAGACAGAGCAGAGGATACCTTCGCTAGGCTGTTACTCATGGCGCATGCCGCCCGCAGTGTGCATACACCTGTCTTTATGGTGGAGTTTTATTGATGGTCGTAACCAGCCTGTCTCTATGGTGGAGACAGTCGTGCTGGCTGCGTGGCGATCAGCACCCTCTGCTGCCTGACGCAATGCAATGCAGCATCCGAACCAACGACCCTAAGGACGTGTGTCTTACAGTTCCAGAACTCGGCAAGTTCCGGAACTCGGGCTAGATACATGTTTCGCAGCTCATTTCGTTAGGAGTTCGCGAGCTCCTCCCAGGGCAAAATTTTTGCAAGTTCCGGAACTAGTTCCGGAATTCCAGAATCGGAACTGTAAGACACACGCCCTAAGCTCGAATGGCACCAAGGTGCTGTGCGATGCTCTGTTGGTTGCTTGGGTTTCTTTTCAAGGCATGGAACATGGGTTGCGCAACCCATCGAAGTTGCGCAACCCACCCTGGTTACCTGTATCGCCAAACCTCACTTGGCGGGCCAGGTAACCAGTTGCAAAGAGATGCTAATTTCCATGTTCTAAATGGAAGCCAAGCAAATAGAATCAATCAATCAAATTTACCAGCATTTACTATAATCTAGCAACAAAACTCAAGATTCGAGCACAGCCAAATATGCAAATCTAGCATTGTAACGCGTATTTCAGACCCCCTCTTCCTCATGGCGAAATGTTTCTTGCCTGTGACAATTCCAAATCGCCATCGAACAGTTCCGAGGGACGAGCGCGCGGATAGCCGCTTCCCAAGACAAGGGCGGGCGGCGCTGCGAAACTCTCCGCTCCTTCCGAACCAGCCCGCCCCCCCGTATGGGCGGAGTTCGACAAAATCCCTGCAAGCGCAGCAGAAGCGGTTTGCAAATTTCTTGAAGTTGGATTCGTGCTCCAACGGATAGTAGCTGGAAGTTGGATTCAGCCATCTTATTAGTATGCTAGAAGCTCTAGGTTTCTCGTTGCTTGCACGTTGAGTAAGCCCGAACCAGTCTTAGCATGCAGGCTCAACAGACACGGTTCTTGGCTCGTACGCCGTCTGCCGTTGTGACCGCTGAGTTGCCATGAGATCCTTAGCACGAGCATGCTTCGACAGTCGTCCTGACGACATCCTTGTCAGAATCCTCTGGCCCTCCAATCCACCCGTTCCTCGCGAATCCGAGGGCCATCATGGTCTGAGCAACTCCTTGTGGCTCGCGCCGATGGACTTCTTTCAGCTGTTCAGCATCGAAGAGGTCCGTCGCGCGCAGAAACTCACTCCTCGTCGACTCATCCCGCTTGCGGACATCCTCCTTTCTTAGATCCCGGCGCTTTCGCAAATCCTGCCTTCGCCGCAGATTCCGCGTACAATCTCGGCATCGCGTCCGTCTGCCGTCGCTGGCGACGCCTCGCTCAGCGACACGTGTCCACGCTTTCCGTCAAGAAGCACCTGGTTCTCTCCCGGCAGGATCTCTCAGATGCCGTCAAGTGCTTCCCCAATCTGACCCGTCTGTATCTGAGCGACGACAGCTTCGAAGCTCTCGACGATGCCTTCCTCGCTCACCTCGCTTCATCGTGCCCGAAGCTGGCGGCTCTCCATGTGGGAAGAATCACCACAACCAGCAAAGAGCGTGGCGGGAGGGACGACAAGCACCTGCTGACCAAAGCTGGTTTGGATCGCTTCTTCCATCAGTGCTCGCAACTGCAGCATCTGTCATTGCTCTGCCTCCACGCACGCGTCAACCTACCCGCTTCCTTCTTCCAGCTGTCGCGTCTCCGCTCTCTCGCTCTCAACCGCGCTTCAGTCATCGATACGCCGAAACTTAAGAGCCTGTCTTCTCTCGCCACTCTCGAGATTCACAGCACGAAGCTCTCTCAGCAGCAGCGCTCGAGACTCATTCGCCTCACCAGCCTCGCCAGCCTCACCAGCCTTTCCCTGCCCGATGGAGTCGGCGTGGATCTGGAAGACCCGTCGTCCGCTACCCTCTCCTTCGCACGGCTACCCTGTCTGAAGTCGCTGAAGGTTGGAGTGCGCTATCGACGTGATTTTCGCAGGCTCTTTCCGTCAGCGTCGTCGTGCAGCCTCTTGGAACGGCTGCAGCTCACCAAGTGCAGAGAGCTCGAGTCCCTTCCTGACCCAATCGGGAATCTGCTGCCACGCCTCAAGGAGCTGACTATCTACAGGTGCAAGCCACTAACTCAGCTGCCAGAGGACTTTGCTTCCTTGAGCTGTCTGACCAGCCTCACAATATCAAGGTGCAGTGTGGTCGCGTTGCCAGAAAACCTCGGAGAGCTGCCCCGGCTGAAAAAATTGGTGCTGCGCATGCTGCCTCTCGGGGGTCTCCCTGACTCCCTCTGCCAGCTGCCATCTTTGGAGACGCTGTTTCTGGTCGGGTGCAGCGAGGTACAGGAGCTGCCAGCTGGTTTCGGCTGCCTCACAGCGCTCAGGTGTCTGTGCATCCAGCAATTGAAGCACCTGGTGCTTCCAGAGGCCATTAGAGGGCTCACCAACCTCCACACGCTCATCCTCAAAGTCAACCACGAAGACCAGCTGCTGCCATCCTCATGCACGCTGCTGGTTTCCCTGACCAGGCTGGAGCTCCACGACTGCTTTATAGCTGAGCTTCCAGAGGGCTTGGGGAAGCTGAGAAACCTGCGAGTATTGAGCCTCACGTCCTGCCATAAGCTCAGCGCGCTTCCAGGGTCCGTCACAGCTTTGGCGCAACTTGAAGGCCTGAGGATCGAAAGATGCTGGAGCCTTCTTTCGATACCCAGAGGTCTGGGTGGGCTTACAAGGCTGAAGCAGTTGGACCTGAGTCGATGTGATGTGCTGAAGGAAGCTCCCGAGTCGTTACCGCTCTCCCTTGCAGCTCTTAGCTTGGGGAACAGCGGTTGGATCACACCGCTTCCAGACATCTCTAAGCTTTCAGGGCTCAGAACATTGAAGTTAGACAGGGTGGGTGTTGCAGATGGGCTGGTAGCAGATGCTTCCAGCAGCAGCGGTTTATCTGGTCTGAGGCATCTGAGGGAGCTGGAGCTGATACTGCCAGAACGTGCCACCGAGTGTCCATTTCCGCTGGTTTTCCTTCCTGACCTCCGCATTCTGACGGTTTCAAATGCAGGAGGTTTGAAGCAACTTCCAGACTTTCCTGGCTCCGCTTTGCAGCAGCTGCAGCAGCTGGAGATTCATGGGGCCAACGAATTGACAGAGTTACCTGCCACTGTTACAACGCTCCAGCAGCTGACATCCCTTCGGATCCATGCGCCCAAGTTATCTTCCCTTCCAGAGGGCATCGGGGCCTTATCCCGATTGTGCAGGCTGAATCTGTCCAGGTGCTCATCCCTCGCACATCTCCCTGCTTCTCTCACTCAACTCGCCTGCCTCCATGACCTGGACCTCAGCCTCACCCCCATCTGCTCCCTCCCCCCGAGCTTTGCCCGGCTCACCAGACTCAAGCGTCTGGATTTGCTGGGTTGCGAGCAGCTGACAGCTTTGCCTGAGGATCTATCAGAGCTTAAGTTGCTTCATTCTCTCACTACTTATGGGTGTGACAGGTTGCCTGACGATTAGGGTGGTGATGCTTTGGTGGTGTACTCTGATTGCAATGCTGCGGTATTGGTGTTAGCCTTATGGTGGGTTGGCATCTCACAGCTGGCAACCGTGCAACTGTCCCCCCCCCGTGACCTGATGTCATTGGTTAGCTAATCTAAACCGCGCAAGCTTGACCTGTTTGGCAGCTGCCATGTGTCAAACATATTTGTGTATGTGTAGTAGACTACATAGGGTCTTGCCGTAGAGAGTATAACCCACTAGCTATATACTCCTGTATTCTCTCATTCTAGTCATTCGTTCTAACTCTGAGATGGTATCACGAGTCCCATTCTAGGTCCCACCCTGCATTAACACTTCCGCTGCACTCCTCAAGCATTTCATACAAGTGGGAATTAGTCTCTGAAAAGATCCTAGGGCTTTTTCTCAGCCCAACATGGTATGAGAGCTGGTCAGAGACCAAACTCCCGTCAACATCCTATCTACAGTCAGCATATCAAAAGCTTCATCGATTACAAGACATGGACAACAAGGGCAAGAATTCTTCTACGGGCTCACCCAGCGCCCAAGACACTCAACCCGACACTTCTGAACTTCACACCTCTGGACTGCAAACCGAGACCGGCGCTGCTCAAGAAACAACAAGAAGAGTACCAGGAAATGGTGACCCCTTCACCCTCTTCAGGTGTGGACCCGAACCTTATGGAAAGGTTCTTCTTCAGCTTCATGTCGCACTTCGACCAGCAGCAGCAGACAAGGACACCTGCGCATTCAACACAGAGCAACGGAGGAAATATGGGGTTAGCACCGATGAGCCTCGACAACTCATCATTCGGGCGGCACAACTAGGCGCCTACCTTTGCGCCTTATCACTCTTCACCAGGGACGTTCGAGTTCATGCCGCCCCATGCTCAACCGACAGCAGCTACATCACAACAAACACCAAATGAGATCTTGAGTCTCCAGGCGCAGTTTTCACATGTGATCAAACTACAGACATCTTCACCGTTCAACGTGCACGACTTCTTTATATGGAGCTTTGAGTTCGAGCTGCTAATGGAGGACGCGCACCTCTTGGGATACTTCAACGGGTCCCTGCCATTTCCAAGCAATGGAACTGCAAAGGAGCAGGAAATCTTCACGTATCAGTCGCTACTGGCAGACACAGTCCTCCTGCGAAACCTGTCACCACAAGAACAACATAGCATCAGAACGTATTGGAGCTACGGAAACCCCGCGGAGCTCGCCTGGCATCATCTGAAATGTCTCTATCAAGCAAACGACAGCGTGACACAAAGCAGACTCATGCAGCAGCTGACAACAATACAAATGAAGACCGGGGAAAAGGCGATGCAGTATATGAGTCGCTGCCAAACACTTTGCAACCGCCTGCTTCGGTGCGGAGGCACAATCACTGAACAAAGCTTCGTGACACTTGTTCTCGCCGGGCTCGGACCACAATGGAGAACCACCCGCTCGCTTCTTCGCGCCCACAGACGAATTTCCGAGATGCACCTCTGCGCCGAGCTTCATGCTGAATAACAGGAGATGGACCTGTTTGAAGAAAGACAACCACGAAGCAATCAGCAATCGTTAGCCTTCTACACTCACAGAAGAAGCGACAACTACAACCGACGCGACAAGCAGAACCGATACGACACCAAAGGTCTCAGCATCGTGCTGCTGTTCTGCCACAACTGCCAGACATCCGGGCACTCCAAGGTCGACTGCACACGCCCTCGAGTTTATCGCCCGGCAGATCCGCAAGCCGCCTCCACTGAAGTGAATCCACCAAGCCGTTCTTCCATACCTGCACAAGGCACACAGATTATCATCAACTGCATGGTACGCATCGACAACTGCACACCCAGGTCACCACCCACTTACGCTCTAGACGAAGAAGAGATGCTGCCGCCGCGCTCACAAGGTCTTCAGGTCAACCCCACGTATGCTGCAGTCGCCAACGCCGAACCTACCGGGCGAAACACGTGGTTCTTGGACAGTTGCTGCGGTCAACACATGTGTTCCTCGGGGTGCTTGGTGCAACAAGAGCGATGCCTCAACCGCGACGTCATCATCACCGTTGCCAACAACGAGAAGTTGAAAACAAACAGACAAGGAGTCGTTCAGCTTCAATCAATGGAGACAAACGTCATACTACAACTCAACAAAGTTCTCATCGTCGACAATCTGGGATACAATTTACAAAGCGTCAGCCAGTTAATGGCGAAAGGAATTCACCTGGAGTGCAACTCGTACGCCAACGAGTTTCGTCTTTATCACAGGAAGGGCGGCCTCTTCATCGGTCGAGCTCTTCTGAATTCGGGCGTATTCGTGCTGGACTTCGTCCTCGACCGCGGTACTGCTGACAGCGACGGCATTGTGTCGTTCGCCGCCTGGACGCACCCGCCCGATCTTGACCCTGACTTTAGTCCAGGAGGGTTCTGGTACTTCAACACCATCCCTGCAGTAGAGAGAACACGAGCATTAGCAGTCATTCGACAAGAACAACAAGTACCAGCAAGTATCCCTTCCTGGGCATCACCTGCAGTAGCAGCAGCAAGACCCAGCCGTGCGCCATCACCAACAATCCGAGGACCACCAACCGAAGCAGATCAGCTCATGCCCATCACCGGAGGAGTCTGCCGCAGTCCCGCTACAGTCGTCGCGTTCTTCTCCAACGCCGACCTGTACCAGCGTTCTCATGGTCATCGCGCTCCCGACGACATCTGGCATCAACGACTAGGGCACCCTACAAACAGCACAATCTTTCAAACCATGCAAGCCGGAGTATTAGAAAAGGACGCTCCCTTCACAACAAACGGCCAGGAGCTTTGACGACCTCGCGCACGATGCTTCACGTGCCCCGAAGCTGATCTTCCACATCAACCTTTCCCGTCGCACCACAACCCAAGCGCACCTGCATACGCACCGATGGAAAAAGGTTACAGCGATATTTTAAACATGCCTCGAGACGACATTGAAGTCGAGTACAACTACGTCATCACGTTCATCGATGCGGCAACACGATACTGTACGTCTAGCACTTCAACCTCAAGACTCGTGACCAAGCGTTCGAAGCTTTCACGACATGGCTCCCCATCGCTGAACGAGAATCGGGCTCCCAACTCAAGAGTTTCTAGTCAGACGGGGCACTGGAGTATCAGTCACAAAGGTTCAGGAGCTACTTGGCAGAAAGAGGCATCAGACGCTTGGTGTCTCTGCCCTACGCTCACCAGCAGCAGGGGGTCGCAGAGAGGATGAACCACACCTTGCAGATGATGATGCGGAAGCTGCTCCTGGGGATGGGACTGCCCAACACACTTTGGCCTGAGGCGATGACGCATGCAGTCCACCTCCACAATTTGCTGTCCTCGTCATCACTTCCCAACAACTCATCACCGCACCTGCTGTGGACTGGAAAACTGGGCAGCACAAAATTACTTGGAGTCTTTGGCTGCATGGTACAGTACAGACCCCACACAGCACGAGCAGGATGATTTTCTCAACGAGCACGGTGGGGACTACACCGCGGTGGCAGCAGCGCAGACCCGTTATGGTAAGGCTCGCCGCCTCAAGGCTGGGCGCGACGGGGGTAGTGGAGGAGGGGGTGGAGGTGGTGGTGGAGGTGGTTCGTCCGCTGGCGGTAGTACAGACGAGGGGGCTGGGGCTGGTGCCTCGGAGCAGCAGCCCAAGCGGGAGTAGTAGCAGGCGCCACAGCTTGACCAGCAGCAGCAGCAGTCGCAGCGGAGGGTCGGCCGCCTCCCGGCTGGGTGAACTTGCGCTGGTGGAGGTGGTGGTCGTGGTCGCGGTGGTCGTGCGCATGGCTCGGTGTGAGGTGGTGGTGCGAGTGACGGGCGCTCCCAGAACGAGCTCTAGACCGGTCACACCCCCACTCGCTGTTTTAGTCGCCTGGATGACCTGCTTCGTCTTCGCTTCGGCTGGCACAGTCTACTCTGCTGTGGTGTTAGGATCTTTGACATGGACATGGATGAGATTAGCTCTGCATTTTATGTGCTGTATGTCAATGACTCTAGTGTGACTGGTTCCTATTACCTCGTGTTGCGTAGTGTAGGTGTGTCCAGTATGCATAGTTTAGGCTCCCCTGCTGCGTCAGGCGTGGGACCCTCTGCTTTGTCTAGCCTTGTCTCCACACTAGCTCCACCGCCCCTAGCCGCCACTACCACACTCTCCTTAATTCTCGACTCGAGCGACTCTCGGTGCTTCTTTTGGGACCACACTACGCTTACGCCGCCCGCCGTCCCTGCCACAGTTACCCTTGCAGACCCTTCCTCAGGTCCGGTAGTCGCCTGTCATTCCACTACTCTCCCGTGTCCGACAGTTCCTTCGGGCTCTCTTACAGGCCTGCACATCCCCTCGTTCTCGAGGAATCTAGTTGGTGTCGGTTGTCTTCAGGACCTCCGCGTCACCACTACGTTCCCTGGTCACGAGAGGAATGCTGTCTGTACCGAGGCTGCCACTGGTGCCCCACTCACCACGTTCCCCCGGGACCCCGGTGTCCGGCATGTTCACGCTGGACATTGCCTCCCCCCCGGTTGGGACGCCACCCTAGGTGGCAGCGTCTACCCAGGTTGCTGCGGCTTGCTCGTGTCGGTCGCTTACTCACCCCTCGCTTCTGGGGCACCACCGTCTCGGTCACCCCGCTCTCACCAGTCTCTGTCACATGTCTCAGCACGGTCTTGTCTTAGGTCTCCCTGCATCGTTCCCCGCGCTCCCCTCCTCGGCAGCGCCTCCATGCATGCCCTGCGTCGAGGGCCGGCTCCGCCGTGCCCCTCACTCCTCCTTGTTCCCCCCCACCACTGCACCGTTACAGACCCTGCACATGGATGTTTGGGGCCCCGCCCCCGTCCATGGACCACGTCATGATCGTTACTTCCTAGTGCTTGTCGACGACTACACTCGCTACACCACCGTGTTTCCCCTGGAGCGGAAGGCTGACGTGCCTGACGTTCTTATCCCGTGGCCTATCTCTGCGCGTGTGCACTAAGGTCTCCCTGTGTTGCGTCATCACTCCGACCGTGGTGGCGAGTTCGCCTCTGGCTGCCTTGGTCGCTTCTGTCATGCGGAGAGCATCACCCAGACGTACACCCTTCCGGACTCCCCGCACCAGAATGGGGTCGCTGAGCAACGCACCGGGTTGGTCATGGAGGTGGCTCGTACCTCCATGATCCATGCCGATGCACCCCATTTTCTGTGGCCGTTCACCGTTCGCTACGCCGCCCACCAGCTTAACCTGTGGCCGCACCCTCAGCGGCCGCAGGTCTCGCCGACCCTCCTC